ATGCACAGAGTTACCAGACGAAGGGAACAGCTAAGGAACAAGAGTCAATTTAGAAGTAAGGCCACAGGTAGATGGTGAATGGCCCCTCCCATAGGGAATAAGAGAGGAGCGAAAGGAGAGGGGTGTTTGCAGGAGACAATTAGTTTATTCCTGCATTCTTGCCAAGTATTGCAGTGTCTGAAAGATATCGGCCTGGCCACTCTCCAAGCCTGATAAAGGTCAGTAATTGTGAACTATCTTGAAAAACTGTGAGCTGGGACTTTACTGGAGAGGAATTCACTGTAAATTAAATAAAAGGGTTTATCAGGACGAGGACTTGCTTTTGTACTGCTGGGGAAGCCTAGGTCAGAACATTATGGTTGCCTTGTGACTTCTGTGGTTGTGAGAATCACTATCTTACAGGATGCTCCTATGCTACAAAATATAATTGTCATTTCAATCTATATTTACCACCAGAGCAAAAAAAAACCCAAAAAACAAAACAGGCACAGTTTATTCTAAGCCGGGGATCCCCACGTCCCTATTAGGAACTGGATTGCACAGCTGGAGGTGAGCGGTGGGCAAGCAACAAAGCTTCATCTGTATTCGCAGCCACTCCCCAGCGTTGGCATTACCACCTAAACTCCACCTCAGATCATCAGGCACTAGATTTGGAGTGCAAACCTACTGTGTAAATTGGGCACGCGAGGGATCTAGGCTGCGTGCTCTTCCTTCCCCCCACTTGTCCATGGAAAAATTGTCTTCCAAAAAATTGGTCCTCCGTGGCAAAAAGAATGGAGACCACTGTTCTAAGATATGGATTTTAAACTGAAACTTAGGTTTTGTGATGCATTTAGATATTAATCTTATTTACACAAATAATTTGGGCCACCAGGCATGATTCTCCTCTATAATCTGGCTGCACAGTAGACTTGCTTGGTAGGAATTATCTGCTTAAGCTCGCACAAGTAAGCTTGATGATTGCAGAGAACATTTGAATTCTCCCATCCCACAATTATCATGACTGCAATGTGCTTCTCTTCTCCAAGAGAAGTTACCTGAGTATCAACCCATCTCACACCCGTCTGTGTATTCTCCACTCTTCCGTAAAAATGAATAGGGAGCATGTACTCCGGACGAGCCTTCTCCCAGGGGTTTCCATGTCTTAGCCAATCATCAGCTTCTTCCACCTGCAATGAGAAAAGGCCAAGCATTAGTAAGATACTTCAAGCTAGGCAGGACAAGAAGAAATGAGCTCATTGGTCTTTATTTGTCTTCTAGATAATTTGCAGTCACATCATTTCATTGACATGATCAGGGATGGAACTTGTATATGGAAAGCACAAATTTCCCATGTCAATCACTGGCTCTTTTTAACTCTCTTCAACAGCTCGTCATTCTCATTCTCATTGCTCATTATCATAATTGGCACTCATGAGTTGAATATCGATGTATAAAGTTTAGAAAACAGAATTCTCCTCTCCTTGCTCAAGAACAGATAATTTCATTTTTTCTTTGCACTGAGAAACTCATTACTGTACATCAATGATTCAACAGAACTTCCTGTCTGTCACCTGAAGAAAGTTGTCTCGTTGAATCAAGAATTGGCCAATGTATGCCATGTTGTAATCCTTTCATTTAAACCCCAGTGATCTACTTGTCAACTTATTGTCTATTTATTTTTTGTTAATCATTATCTTAACCCGCTCCCTCAAAACCTTTGAAAGAAGGACAGAGCACAAATCTGTTTACATTTTTCCCTCTCTTATTTGCACAATTCACAATCCAGACTTTAGTGTAAAAGTTCATTCTTTTCTATATATAGAAATAATTGAATAAATATATTCCTTAAAAGAACAAAAATAGAGCAGGAAATGAATTTGGCTGCAATATTATGGCATCTGGCATTTTTAACCCAAATATATACAACAATTTACCAATCCATCTTACAATACAAAGCTAAGATAAATTCCACCTTAAAAAGAATCTAAAAAAATCCCATACAACCAAATACAGCACCGGATAATAAAAATATTGTGCCAACAAAGGCCACGTAGATAAAAATTTCAACTTCATCCCATCATGTTGACATTTTATAACTACTTCCAGTGACAAAATGAATGTATGTTTAACATCCCTGAAAGTACTTAGATACTGGACTGGATATTCTAGGATCTTAACTAGTACAATTTATTTGATAGGAGGTTTATTAACCTGCAGTTCTTAATTAGATCTTTGATCTAATTAGAACCCCTAGATCTTAATTAGAACCCCTAGATCAGGGGTTACCGACCTTTCTGATCTCAGGGACCACCAAATTAATAATTTTAAATCTCGCAGACCACTAATATGAATTTTTTAAAAAGATAAATAGTATTTAGTGCAATATAAAAAATGCAATAAACTTTTCTGCCAAAATTTTCTCGTGGCCCACCAGTGGTCTATGGCCCACCAGTTGGTGACCACTGGTCTAGATGGCTGCAACTGTATTCATTCCCCCTTGTTTCTGTTCATATAGGCATCTTGAATTCTTTGATTTCGGAAACTCCTAAATCTTAAGAATATAACATATAGAATACTTCATGCAACAGAATAAACCGAATGATTTCGCTCACTTAAGTGTAAAGCCCTTGCACATATTTTGAAGCTTTTAAGCCCAAATCTTGCTTAAGATTTTACCATTGTTGAGATGGCCATTTTTTATCCTTCCTTCATCTAAGATTTTCATCTTACGTTTTTATGATTAATATGGACTTTTATATTTTATATATGGTTTTACATTTGTTTTTATCTAATAGTTATGTGCCACCCCGAGTCACTTTTGATGAGATTGGCATCTATATACATTTCATTAATAAAAAAATATGTAAAATCATCTTGGAGACCCAGTCCTGAATTAGGCATGAAAGCTGAATGGTGACTTTGGGCCAGTCCTTCTCTCTCTCTCAGCCCCACCCACCTAACAGAGTTGTTGCTATGGGAAAAATAAAAGGAGGAAGGAGTATCAGGTATGTTTGCTGCCTTGAGTTCTTTATAAAAATAATAAAGGTGAAATAAAGTAAATAAACATAAAAAGACCCAGGAAAATATGCATTTCTGTAATCTTGATGTGTCATAAGATAGTCTTCTTGTCCACCAATTGGAATGATAATGTTGGATAGGAAGCACCTCCAATTGTTCGTACTTACCTGCCATCCTTCTCTGATTTTCTGATTGAAAATGCCATATTCGTAGCGTATTCCGTAACCGTAGGCTGCAAGCCCAAGGGTGGCCATTGAATCAAGGAAGCAAGCTATGGAAGGGAAACAAAATTGGACTCAGCTCCTTAGGCAGCATTCACCACACTTCAACACAGTTTTAGGGGAGAAAATGGTTCTAGGCAGGGGTGGGTTCCTACCAGTTCGGACTGGTTCGGCCAAACCAGTAGTGGTTTGGCAGCCTGGGTCACTGGAACCAGCAGCGACCCAGACCTGCCACGCCCCCAAACTGGTTTTCCAGGCAGCGCCATCTTGTTTTTCGGTTCTGTGCATGCACAGAACAATTTTAGTTGTACTGTGCATGCGTGCACAGCGCACACAAGGGCAAACCGGCAGTAGTGCCTGCCGGAACCCACCCCTGGTTTTAGGGAGATCTAATCGGAGTGGGGAGAAGTTAAGAAGCTATATAGGGGGATGTAGAAGTTTCAGCGCTGAGTTGAACCCCTGGAGAAATGTCTCCAGCATAAGCTGAAGGGCAAGAAGTTCAAATCTTCCACCATTACATACTCTTCACTGCTTTGTTAAAAACTCAAAGCCAGGGCCCAGGGAAGGCATATCTGGAGCGCAACATTTTGCTTAAGTGGCATGCTAGGTGCTACTTGAAAAGTGGGCAGGGCTAAAACAAGGAAAATGGGCAGGGCCAAGACAAATCTGAGAGAGAGATAAAGAGGCGGGAAGGGAAGGAGAGAGAGAGGGAGAGAGAGCGCATTACACATTTTAGCCCTTCTTTCCAAAAGCATTACAGTCACTCAAATGGAATACTATTTCCAAATTTGGATGACAAGTAGAAAAAGCCATCATATATGCATCATGAGAGTATGAAACCCACAAATTGTCTTGTCCATCACTTCTGCCATCTTAATTTGACTTTAAAGGAAGAGCAAAAGTAGGGACAGACTTTCGATAGGCCATTGCCACCTCCTAACACTGATATGCCATGTATGCAATTTACACAATGACTGCTTACCTGCCAGCCTGCCAAGACCTCCATTGCCCAGACCAGCATCTTCTTCAATCTCTTCTAGCTCTTCTATGTCAAGCCCTAGCTAAAAAAAACCACAGAGAGACAAATGAAATCCAATCAAAATTATGCTTGGGTGATAAAGTCAGAGAGGGCTGAAAGAGGTACTATTAATATAATATATACTATACACTGTACTCAGGGGTGGGTTCCTGCCAGTTCTAACCTCTTCTACAGAAGAGGTTCCACAAATCTACCGTGCCGTTTAGAACCGGTTCCAGCTCCCTCCTCCCGCCCGTCCGCACTGCGCTTGCCCTGCCCATTGCTCACTGATTGGCTGGCTCACCAATCGCCCCGCCCGCCTCTAAGAGTCCTATCTAAACCTTAAAGTCT